CAACAGCATGTTCTGGAATTTTCTGTTGTTTTGTTGGTTTTTTTTTGGTTTTGAAGATTTTGGAATTTGAAATTCAAGTTTCAGGTTGAAACTTGTTGAACACCTTTTGGGGGAATTTTTGGAGGCTCCCAAAACTTGTGAAACAAGGCATAACCCCTGATCGCAATTACGATAACTTCAGCCTGTTAAGTGAGATTTTAGACGGGATTTTCACTTCATTCTTCAAAATTTCAAAACCTAAACTCCAAAGGGCGATTTTTCTAGAGCAAGTTCTTCCCCAAATCATAGTTAAATGAATCTTAACTCTTTTTCTTCAATCTATTTCATCTTTTTACATGATTTCACTTCAAAATCTATGGGAAATTGGGTGTTCTTGCGTAGAAATTAGGATTTTTGAATTTTAGGGATTTGGCCCTCAATTTGAGGTCAGATTTCAAAACCAATTGCATATTTGAGTTCGAAGGTGAATGGGTAATCGGGTTTTGGTTCGAACTTCTAGTTTTGACCCAGCGGGCCTGGGGTCGGTTTTTGACTTTTTGGGGAAAACATTGATAAATCTATACTCATGCATTAGAATTGGTTTATTTAGCGTTAATTGATGTTAATTAGTTAATTATGACTAGATTCAAGCAGATTGGAAGTGGGACCGAGAGATAAAGCGGTAATTGAGGCTTGATTTTGGCCGTGGAATCGAGGTAAGTGTTTGGTCTAACCTTAGCTTGAGGGAATAGGTGTTGTTGTCTTATTTGCTACGTGTTAGTATTGAGTTTGACGTATAGGCATGGTGATAAGTATCTATACATTGATGTTGAGCGTGCAAGTGAGTCTTATATTGTGACCATTATGCCTCTTATCATGTACGGTTCATGCTTAAAATGATGTTTCTCTATGTTGAGCAAGTTTTATGATATTGTTGAGTAATTGATCATTGTTGAGTATTGACTCAAGTTGAGACTTATTTCATGGAATTAACTGTTGAAACGAGATTGGTTATATCTGATTCCCTTGCCGGGATGTTATTTCTATTGTTGATTCCCTTGCCGGGATGTTATTGTTTCTTTTGTTGATTCCCTTGCCGGGATGTATTGTTTCTATTGTTTGGGTGAGGAAGAGTGTAAAGCATGAAGGGTGATGCCGTGCATGATATTGTGAATGAGTGTTAATGCACGAAGGGTGATGCCGCGCCGATATTGTGAGTGTTAATGCACGAAGGGTGATGCCGTGCCATGATTTGAGAGCTAATGCACGAAGGGTGATGCCGTGCCACGATTATGAGAGTTAATGCACGAAGGGTGATGCCGTGCCGTTTCTGTTGTTTCTTATGGTGACAACGAGAGTAAAAGCACGAAGGGTGATGCCGTGCACGTGCTACTGTTTCATTATCCCTGTTGATACAAGTATGGTGTTCATTATGCTTCTCTGTTGAATTACTGCTAGAATTTGATATTCCCCGCAGCATGTATCCCCTTCCCATCTTTATCTGTTATTTTCTGTTATTATTGTTCTGCTCGTATATGATTTAACTGCACGGGTTTATATGGTTCTCATGTCCTAGCCTCGTCACTACTTCGCCGAGGTTAGGCTCGACACTTACCAGTACATGGGGTCGGTTGTACTGATACTGCACTCTACACTTTTGTGCAGATTTCGGTGCCGGACCTTGTGAGTAGATTCGAGGTTGCTGCCTTCAGTCCAAGGAGACCAAGGTAGATCTGCTGGCTTTCGCAGAGCCTGAAGTCTCATTTCCCTGTTTTAGTTTCTTCTGTCTCTTCTATTTCGAGAACAGTTGTACTTCTTTCAGACTTATATCTGTAGTAAATCTTAGTCGTTCGTGATTGTGACACTAGATCAGTTGGGGTAGTTATGTATTAGAATTGTTGGATTGCTATATTACTTCCGCATTTCATAATTATTTTGTTTTAGTTATTATTTGTTCCTGATTGAGTTAATAATAATGGAGGTAAAACTGTGATGGGTTTTCAATATCTTAGCCTTATACTTCTTATGTTCTGATGATCTAACAAACTTGTCGTGAAGAACCAGATAGAGAACCTGGCCCACAGGATATACATCTCATGTGAACTGGTCGAAGTCTGAAAATCAGCAAATGGATGAACGATCACAGGGAGGAACACAACAGGGACCTGGTGACCTGGTCCCTTAGGGTTCTCCGACACAAGCAAGTCAGTGACTGTACGCAATCAATATAAAGAGGAACACAACAGGGACCTGCTCCCTTTGGGTTCTCTGACAGAAGTACAAGTCAAGTACACAGCTGGAACGTAGCAGAAGAAAGTAACCATCTAGCAACTGTCATAGAAGAGGAACACAACTAGGACATGGTCCGTTGGTGTGTCCTGACAGAAGTACAAAGTCCACTATCCAGCTGGAACGCAACTGCCCAGAAGTGGTTGTGCAGACAGTACAGCAGTCACTTCTCATTGGCAAGAAGCGTACACCAAGAGTTGACATCACTATCCATTGTGCTATCTTTTGTGATAAAACAACCTGGTGTAAGACACACCATTCTTCATGCATTCAGTGATGTTTTCTCAAGATAACAACGTTCATCCTGCATTGAAGTCACTGGTGTGTCAAGAACAACAAGACAACTACACTAAGGATCAGTTTCTTAACGAGTTTATGTACATCCGTAGTTGAGTTGTAATCTTGTTGTTTGCTCTTCATTGTATTTCCTAGTTTGCTTTCTTAGAAGCGTTATCTTAGGAACAAACCAAAATTCGTAAACTTCTGAGGTTATGCTGTGACTAGGGATATTCATAAGTTTAAAGCCTTTGTAACTAGGATAGTTATAGAGTGGCTTGTGGTGGTTGCATCACAAGTTAGTTTGAAGTCTTTGCAATAGGGTTTTTGCAAAGTGGCTTGTGGTGGTTGCATCACAAGTTAGTTTGAAGTCTTTGCAATAGGATTTTTGCAAAGTGGCTTGTAATAGGAAGATTGCAAGTTAGTGGAGTTAAAAGCCTACAAGAGTAGGTCGTGGTTTTTTGATCCCCTTGTGTGGGATTTTTCCACGTAGAAAATCTTTTGCCTTCTTCACTTTCAGTCTTTACTGCATTCTAGGCATCATCTCTTAGAGGACCATGTACTCTATAGTTTGGCTGACTCATACAGATTAACAAGGCCATACAGTGATTTGTTCAACTTGCAGACTAGGCATGGATTATCATTCTCTAGCCTTAGTGGCACATGCATATACACCTCCTCATGGATGTCCCCATGCAGAAATGCATTGTTTACATCCAACTGAAAAGTCTGCCATTGCTTCTTTACTGTTGTTGCTATAAGAGCTCTCATTGTTGTCATCTTTACAACAGGGCTGAAGGTCTCAATGTAGTCTATGCCTGCTTGTTGAGTATACCTCTTCACTAATAGCCTAGCTTTGAATCTTTTCACTATCCCATCAGCTTTGTGCTTTATCTTATAGACTCATCTTTGGCAAATGGCCTACTTGCCACTTGGCAGTGGTACAACATCCCTTATATGATTAGCATGCAAATTCTCAAACTCCTGAGTCATTGCAGCTTGCCAAGCTAGATTAAGTACAGCTTCCGCATATGAAGATGGTTCACATTCATTGCAAACATTCATCACAAGTAGTTGACTATCATGGATTAAAGATGCATGTGAAATATGACTATTTAAGGAAAACAAGATACTAAGAGGGGTGGAAGAAGTTGCCTGATCATTAGACACAAAAGTAGGAGTAGATTTAAGGTGAGGTAGGGTATAAACATATTCCTGCAAGTGAGTAGGAAGATTGTGTTGTCTGCCAGATCTTCTAGGCTCTAGAGTTGGTGAAACACTTTTTAAGGTGGTGTCAGGAAAGTTTTGTGAGGAGGTAATAGGAGAATCAAGCAGTTGTGGTTCTGAAAGAGAGTGTGCAGAATGGTCAAGTGTAAATTCATCAGATGCAGTCCAAACATTATCTGGGCTGAGTGGACTGTCTGTTGTGGATTGAGGAGCAACATTATGCAGGTCAGTAATACAAGGAATTGAATGAATGGTTGAAGGAAAGGAGCCAGTAGTAGATGAAATAGCAAAGGGGAAAATATCTTCATGGAAAATTACATCTCTATATATATGGATTTTTTTGGATTCCAGATTCAACACTTTGTATCCTTTGGTTTCAAAGGGTATCCAACAAAGACATGAGACATAATTCTGGGCTCAAACTTGTCTATGCGTATCTTTGGTATGGTGGGAAAACACGGGCAGCCAAAGCTCTTAAGGTGGGAATAGTTTGGTTTCTTTTTGTATAGAAGTTCAAAAAGGCATTTGTTCTTAAGGTAGGAAGCATGTAGTCTGTTTATTAGATATGTGGCTGTTAGAATAAATTCTCCCCAATACTTCATAGGTAATTTTGACTGAAATAAGAGGGCCTTTGCTATCTCAAGAAGATACATATGCTTCCTTTCAACCACACCATTCTGTTGCGGTGTGTATGGACAGGTTCTTTAGTAGACATTGCCTTGGTCTTGAAAGAAAGAGGTTGCTTCTGTACTAGTGAATTCTAACCCACTGTCTGATCTGACTAACTTTATGGTAATGTAAAATTGGTTTTTGACAAAAGAAATAAAAGCTTTGAGAATCTGTAGGGCATGTTGTAGGGTTCCCACAAATCAATGGTCATCTACCATGGTAAGAAAATATTTATAATTATCATCTGTGGGCATGTTGTAGGGTTCCCACAAATCAATGTGTAATAGGTCAAATATTTGTTTAGTGTTGCTGGTTCTTTGAGGAAAGGGTAGCTTGGTGTGCCTTGCCATTGGGCAAATAGAACACATAAAAAGTTGTTTATTAGAGAAGGTAACATGAATGATGGTAAAAGGGAACATGTCCAACCTGTTATGCCACAATACATTCACAACATTTCCATGAGACAAGAAAGAAAAAAGGAACACAATCAGGTGTTTTATTGGAAATGGATCTATTTACATTTGAGAGGAAATCACACTGTGAAGAATTTTGATCACAGGTATTAGATGGCTTATTGCAGATGGATCTATTTATATCACAAGCATAACATGGAATATATGAAACAAAAAAAGGTAGATACCGAAACATTACTAGCATTCTTTAAGCAAAAAGAACAAAAGCGAAATAGCTCATCTCTGATCTTACCAATCTCCAAAGGCCTCTTAATTAAAGGGGCCTGCAGAAGACAACAAGTATTAGTTAAAGCTATTAAAGACTTGAGTTGGGCAGTCAAAGAAGAGATGGATATCATATTGAACTTGAAAGATGGGACAAACACGACCCTGTATAAGGTAATCCGGGGAGCAAACACTACCAATTTCTGTTACCCTAACTCTATAGCCATTGGGAGAGTAACTAACAAAGGGTAGGACAAGACTCTGACATTTAGCAAAGAAGATTTATTGAAAGGCATATGGTGTGATGCTCCTCAGTCTAAATCCATGTGTTAGTCCAAGTTCTGTAACATTTACAAGACACTTTCCCAAAATCAATGGAGGATAAGCAAGTGATCAAGCCTGCAAAAGTCGTAGAAAGGTTCATAGTACCAGCTCTATGGTTTGTACCTTTTGATCTTTCTTCTCCAGTGTTGGCATGAAAATGTTGCAGGATGTTAAGTAATTGACCATATTGTTCCTTGGACAGGTTCAGATTCTGACTTTCATCCTTGGGTCCAAACTTATTAATTTTTAGCAAACATTTCATCAGGGGAGTGACATGTGCATTAGCCAGCACCCTTTTGTTCTTATTATACTTGAAGTTCTGGTTTTAACCTAAAGTCTGAGGATAACCATGGAGCTTAAAACATTTATCCTTAGTGTGACCTAGGCGCTTGCAATAGGCACAAAATGGCCTAGTCCTATTAGTGTTTGGAAAGTTAGCATTGGGAGCATAATTGGTTCTGAAATTATTGTTTATGAAATTGTTGAAATTTCCTGAAGTGTTGCCATGAAGGGAGACAGATCGTGCAGCCAAATGGTTCGAAGTTTTCATTTCTCGCTGCTTCTCATCTTGAATGAGCAGGGAGAAAGCTTGTGCCATTGAAGATAGTGGGTTCATCATGAAGATGCTCCCTCTTACTACTGTGTAAACTTCATTTAGTCCCATAAGAACTTGGATTAATCTCATATTTTGTTCTGTCTTGTGCATATTCTTTTTGGCACTACAAGTGCATTGGCAACTGCACTGTGTCTTTGCACTCAGAGTACTCAGTTCCTCTCAGGGATTCTTTAACTGAGTGTAATAGTTAGTGATGTCTAAAGTTCACTAGGATAAACCATTGATCTCCTTCTGAATTTGGTATAGTCTCGCACCATTAGTTTGTTTATATCGATCTTCCAATTCTTTCCACAATTCAACAACATTATTGGCTTACTCTACACTGTATGCTATCTCTTTTAAGAGTGAATTAAGAATCCAAGAGGTCACCATATCATCACAACATTCTCATTGCCGGAACTTAGGTGATTGAGGATCAGGCCGTTTGCATTCCCCACTGATAAAACCAATTTTATTCTTAATAGATAAGCCACGCAAAACTGCACGTCGCCAGGACCTATATCCAATTCCACTAAAAGATACACTAACCAACATAGCTCCAGGATTATCTGAAGGATGTAAGTAAAGGGGATCACTAGGATCCTTAAGAATTGGGGACAGTTTTGACATCCGCAATAGTACTAGTGGCATCGCTTTGATTGACAACAACTATATCGAATTTTGAAGAAATAGACAGTGAAATTAGAACGAAAGACCAGAAACCTAAATTGAAGGTGAGATGAAAAACGTACACCGTATGGATTGAATAAAATTAGGGTAAAATCGAAAAGCTTTATTATATTAAGAGACGACGGAGACGACTGAATCGAAGGACCCTGTGCTCTGATACCATGTCAGTTTACACCATGGACGACTGATTTGTTCCTCGATTGAGCTCCATTAAAGAGCTTTGGAAGCTATGCATGAATGAGAGAAGAGAGAGAGAGAGAGAGAGTCTGATTCCCAAAATGAGAGAATGAACTGTGTATTTGATATTTCTATGTAATGGTGTATATTTACATGAGGACAAACATAACTAGCAACTAACTCTAACTAACTAACAGCTAATTGACACCTAAGTCACTAACTAACAAGTGATCAGCTAACTAGTTGTAACTAATTGTACAACAGGTAAAGCTAAAAGTACAAGAGAGTAAAAGCTGAACATGCAAAAAAGATAAATACATCTCAATAGCTACTTTTCTGTACTTCTCCAAAACTGCTTCTACTTCTAATCAATAATACTTTTTTTTTCTTCTAAAAGCTTTGGCCAAACAATTCAAATTTGAAAATTCTTTTTTGTCTTTGGAAAAGCTTGGCCAAACACGCTATTAAGCTCTTTGAAGTTTGAAACTAAGTTGAAAAAACTTTATAGAAGCTGAGCTAAAAATAAGAAAGAAATCAAGATTTTGGAAAAAGAAAGGCGAAATACATAAATAGCCCCTCCAAGTTGTCCACAACGGTCATTTGAACACCTCAACTGAGACCGTTTTCACTTAAACATATCACGTGACTAAAAACTGAACTCAATAAACCCTTCAAAGTGACAGATCTTATAGGTGAGTTACACTCGCGAATGACGTGGCAAATTAACAAATCAAAAGATGACACCTATTATTTCTTTAAATTTTTTTATTTATAGTTAATAAAAAAGGAAAAGAGAAACACAATATTAATAAAAAAAAACACCCTCCAAAATCGGATCCCCTCCTCACCACCAAACATCTTCTTCGTCACCACCAATTTTTGCCTCTTGGCTTCTACTGAAGCTTTATCGATAAACCCTTCAAAGGCTTCTACTGAAGCTTTATCGGTTGAGGTGTCAGCAGAAATGAAGGCGCCGGAGATTGTACGGAACGCCACCGTAGGACAGCTGCTGGCGCTGGAAATAGTGGTGGCAGTAGAAGAAGACGAATCATCGAAAAACAGGTGGGGTTTTGAATATGGGTCGGGTCGAATATAGCAGTGAATAGCGGAAGAAAATTTGTGGTGTTTTCAATGGCTTCTACGCGCCGGGGTTTTCAATGGCTTCCTATGAGTCCTAATAATCTATGGCTTCCCATGGGGGCTCGGTTGGAACGTGTTATGGCTTTTTCAGTTTCTATCTCTTCATCCCCATCTGATTCATCAAACTTGATACCTGAATGTGAGGATGAAACATTATAGTTGTGCCTTCTATAGAACTTTCCACCATTAGCATCAGTAGGTGTATTGCCACTCGGCGGATTTTCCATCTCAATTTCCTCATCACAATCTGAATCATGGTAAAGTTGTGGTGTTGCGAATGGTGGGTTAAGGTGCAGTAAATATATTGGAGGAAAAGTGGGCTCCACCAGTTAAATTAAGAAAAAGAAAAGAAATAAACACAATTTTGAAAGGCTTCACTTGCTGCAACGTGAGTGTAGTACACACATTTTGCCATGTCACTCTGAAGGGTTTAAGAGATACACTGAAAAATAACTTGAGGTGTCTACTTGATAAATAGGTCTGTTGAGGTGTTCAAATGACCGTTGTGGATAACTTGGAGGGGCCATTTATGTATTTCGCCAAAAAAAAATACAAAAAAGATATATATATTTTTTTGTTTCTTGCACTATTTATGTTATAATAATAATTTTATTACAAGAAACTTTTTATTACAACAACCGGTCCTTGTGAAAATACAGAGTAGAGACTAGAGAAGAAAAATGATACTGAATTATGCTTCTTCTCCGTTTATCCATTGGAACAAAACTCCAAAGAAAACGGTATATTCTGCTTCTACTGCTAATTTAAATACGGAGAAGCTTAGAGAACAATTAGACCATCTTCACAAGGAAGCACAAACCACAAGAAACAAAGGTATTATTTTGCCTAATTTTTCTTATTATAAATGGGTCTGTTTGAATTTAGCTTTATGTTATGAAAATTACTTATTTGAGGATTTATTTGTGAATTAATACGAAGTTGGTGTATAAGATATTGAAAAGTTTATACCTTTAATTGATTTCTTCTTTTGGGGTGTTAAATTTAGTGTTGGTGTTTGAATTTGGGATTTATGTTTTGTAAATTACTTGTATGAGGGTTTTGATGTGGGATTTTACAAATATGGTGTGTTGGATGTTGAAAAGTTTATAGTTTTGATTGATTTCTACGTTTTGGGTGTTAAATTTTATGGTGTTTTTTTTAATGAATTTGGACATTAGAAAAATTGAACTGTCATATAGGGTTCTTGATTCCACGCTTGCAAGTTTTATAATTTACTAAGAAGTAATAGTGAAAAGTGAAAAGGATGACTGCACTTCAATGTTATAGTTTAGATAATGTACTTGTGCTGGTGGGAGATAGCGGGTAGCAGTGGAATAGTCCAAGTACGCGCAAGTTCACCTCAACACCATTGTCGTTTACAAAATGTGTTTACACACAATAAGAACAAGATAAAAGGAAGAGAACGAACAAAAGGTGTCTAATGATGGCCGACTTGTCGTGTCTTATCTTTTCATCGATTGGCTTACAGATGGAAGGTTCGACAAGAATTCCTAGGCCGAGTGTTGGGCTTTCGGGATCAAAGAATCTTAAGAATTGCCTCTCTTACTTCCATCTTTGGTTGATGAATTAAGAGTGTCCTTCCATCTGAATGAAATCCCGAGGACCGTGTAGTTGCAGCTCCGGGCACCATCAATTCTCTTACTCCTAGGTGTAATACCACTTCCCTGACTTGTTTGGGACTGAGGCGGGATTGTTGTTGTAGGTGTATTACCACTTCTATTCAGGGATAGGAGTAAACACTAGATGGTTCAAGAGCTTCCGCTAACACAGCGAACAAGTCTAGATCACCACTTCTCTTAGTAATGGACTTCATTGAATTCCTCGGGAGAAACCACAACAACTGGAAAATAGGAAGAATTTCCTTTTGTCTAAAAAATCTTGAAGGAGACGTGATTACATTGAACCTGATCCTCTTAAATGGAATGCAAGCAGCAATGGTTACAGAGAAGTCCTGTTATCAGTGACTACCAAAAACTGCTAGCACACTGAAACTTGGAATTGGAAGCATATTTAGAGTAAAATTCTGTTCAAGTTTTTCATTTGTTCTGCGGATTTCATTTTCTTAAAGACTTCACAAATTGCAGATGTCCGGCTGCATAGCTGTTTGTAGTATTTTCTTCATGTATGTAGATTTCCTTATTTTTATACTTTTACGGATAATTTTGTTCTTTGTTATGTTTCTTATCTATGTTCTAGGTTTTGTTCCTTATAGATTTTTATGTTTCTTATTATTTGACATGAAAAAGGTAGAAAGCTGAAATGACATGGTTATAGCTATTTCGTCTTGGATCACTTTTATTCAATACTGTGTTTTTTTTTCCTTTAATTATTTAGTCATTGATTCGATGGACAGCATAATATTTATTGAACAGTTTTGAGTTCTTACTGATCAGAATCCTGGCTATTCAGCGAATAATGCAAGATCGAGGCTACTTCGGTTGTCTGAAGCAGCGGAAAAATTTCGGCGACAAGCAGCCGTTAGTATTCAAACTGGAAAGGAGAATGACGCCAGGGAGCTACTTTTTCAAAAGAAGAAGATTATGCAAGCCATGGAGAAGTCGAAGAGCCGCATTGAATTGCTTGATGAACTTGCGGCAAAGCTTAATGAGGTATGGTTTACTATCTTTTAGTTTTTTCCTTTGCGTGGTTGCTTTCCTAAAGCTGAGGAAGTTTTTATGGTATCAAAGATCTAAACTCATTATGACACTTATCAAAAAAATAAAATAAACCAAAATAAAATCATTAGCACACTTCATAGATTCAAATCCCTACTCAACACGGTACCTTAAGGAGAATCCGAAGCTGGTTGCTGGCGGAAGTATTCCTTTCTGCAGGTTTGCTTCTTTCCTCATACGAAAGGGTTTAAGGATTGTGTTCTAGAACCTCATTGGGTGCCTCTATCTGTACAATGTAGTTGATCCAACATCAGATACCAAAAGACGTTGAACTGATACAGTTGTTTCGATCAAAATGGTTTTATGGTGTTGAGTTGTCATAAAAATAACCCGAGATTTTGATAGAACTTCTTAATGTCCCATGTCTTTGATTCTTTGAGGGTGATATGTGATCATTGATTATAGATATTGGCTGTTCTCGTAAGGTCACAAATTCAACTCTTGTAACAGCTCAACTAAATAAACAAAGGAGAATTATTCATTAATTTATCAGAGAGGGGTATTTCTTTAGTTTACTGGATGTTGGTGAAGCAAATGAAATCTGTCATAGAAGATGATACTTTTGAGCTTTGATCAGTAAAACATTTTTAATTTGGGCAAAAAAGTAAGCATTTTTAGTTGTGGCTGATCAAGGATAAGTAATAAGGGAGATTTGTATCCTCGAAAAATACCTTTTAATTGTCTAACTTGCAAACCTTTTGCATCTCAGAGTATCCATAGCACTTTCTCAATTACTGCATTCCTCCTTATTTTCTCCAAAAAATGCTGGAGAGGAGGAAAAGGAAAGTTTAAATAAAGGGGGCATTTTATGTCTTCATGTTGGTGCATACACATATAGTTTGGCATGTTACTATTCTAGAATTAATTTTAGAATCATTATGTGGATTGTAGATCCAAAGTCCAAATCAGATAATCCCGGGCCTTCTCGAGGAAGTGGTTCATTTCCTTGCCGGTTTTAGTATGTGAGGAACTTAGTATGTAGGATCATCCCCAATTGCTAATTTGCTTATATTGGCCGTATATCATCATGCTTTAATTGTAGGGAATATGAACTTACAAGTTGATTGCTAAATATTTTGTTGCCCGAGCAGTGCAGGATACTTGAGGATCGCTTGAATCAATATTGATTGATTTAGCATCTGAAATGGTTAGTGTATTATTAATGCAGCACCTAGAAGGTGCTGTCAAAAGTATTTACATAGCGCCAAAAGTATATCCCTTCTATATCTTAGAGGGATTTGATACGAAACGAACACAAAAACAAGAATATGGGAAAATAAGACGGAATCAAAGATAGGAGCTACACCCACAATCAATTAGAAACTAGAACCAATTAGACTAAGAAAACCTAATTACCTCTCAGAACCAGTAAATTGAGACCCTAAGCTATTTGGATCCTCGAGAGGAATGCTTCCTCTTGCAAATCCAAGGGCAAAAGTGATGAAAAAGCAACAATTAGACCATAATTGCCACAAATCTAATCACTCACAAGCTAAACACTAAAATGCTCAAATTAAAGAAAGCAATTAATATAAACATAAATGCATAAATTCATAAAAGTAAATAAAGGGACTTCATCTCTATCAAGTCATCATTCATCAAGTCTAAGGAAAATGAGGGCTATAGTAGCTAGCTCATAATTACAAAAATAATCTTAATTGACTAAACTAGGGCTAGAAGATGCAATTCTAGTCTTGTTGCTAGTAAGTAGCCATGTCTTGCAATTTGTGGCCGCTCCTTGCAAATGGATGTCTTCCTTCACTCTTCAATGTGCTAGATTGCCATCTCTTCTGGATTCTATGAGTTCAATCACTGCTTCGGCATCATTTACATAGCTCCCTTTACGCCAAATATAAAACAAAAGCAAACAATTTATTTTGATCTTCTGAATAGAATCTTTCTTGATGTATTTTTCCTCCTTATATTTTGATTGTTGACAAGAAGAGTGTTTGAAAACTTAAGTAACTCTGAAATCCTTTTGTTCATGCAATGATATGCCTGATGTGGTAGCTGCTTTATTACATCTTATTTGAATATGAGTAGAGAATCGGCAAGTGTCTGGAGTAACAGACAAGGATACTAAGGCTTCGCATCAGCACTTAGCGTAACTTGTTTAGATATTGAACTTGATGTAACTATTGTCAACTTATGTTTTAATGAGCTACTTTTGTTGTAATTTAATCCCAGTATTTACTACTTTTCACAGTACCAAGTGAAGTGTCATTTCTTTCCAAGATGAATAGGTTTCTAATTAAAAAGTTCAGGTGAAAGAGCTACTCTCACTAATCATAGAACTGCATATTAGTCAAAAGCTACTTTTATCTATATATATATAATGCTCCCTTTTCATGACCTCGTCTATTTTCAGGCAATATCGATGAGGGAGAAGCAGTTAATCGGAAATGTTGCTTTTGACCTTGATATTGCTATAGATGATGATGCCCCAAGTCCTGTTCGAATAGTATCTCCAAAGGATGAAAATCCAGATAATTCAGATGAAAATGAAGACTTTGACCAGGAAACTATAAAATTAGATGATAGCCAAGAATTGCAAGCTCCCAATGATAATAATGCAGAACGTATAACTGATTATGAATTGAAAAATCTCGAGGCATCAACAAGTGGGAACATGTCCAAGGAAGCCGACAGGATCGGTAGTTTAAAGGGGGTATCCTCATATGAGGAGTTTTTGGAACATATAGACCAACAACTAAGAGACATTGAAGTAGAGCTTATCACCTTTTTGAGATTTTCATCCTTAATACTTGAAAGCAAAGAGAAACTAGAAAACTCAAAGGTACAGCAAGCACTGGATGTTCTCGAGGGTGTTCATCAGCTTAGAGGGAGGTAATGCATAAGCAGATCAAGAAGCAAGTGAACTTTTACTTCTCATTGCTCCACTTTTCAGGTGATTTTTTTATAAAAACTTTATCTCATACAAAATCTCAACTCTTTTGCAGAATTGCAAGCATAGTGCAGAAAAAAGCAGATTTACATTGAAGCTTTCTTTCACTATATGCAATTCCTGCAGTGGTCGATGCTAAGGCAAAAGTTTATTTCTTTGCGTTTCCTGTTGGTGGTGGGACTTCAGTAAGCTCTTAAGCGCTCTTTCAGAAGATCAAGTTGCTGTAAGATGATAAGATATATGCTTCGTGAACAACAGGAGAAAACTACAGCCTTCTTTCACTGGTAGATATGAAATTCATCACGTTCTTGTGTACTAATATATTTCTGCATTTTACCATCTCCGTCAAATCTTCTTTTCTATTGTACATTCAAGCAATCATATCTCAAGTATCCATTTTGCGTCACTATGTGCTCTATAAGGTGGTTCAATTTTATAGCTGGATTTTTACAAAGTGTCATCTGGTCATTGGTTAGTGTGCTTATGTTGCCCAGACAATCTGATGGTTGATTACATATTGAAAGGACAAAGATGATAATACTATGCAGAACTTGTGGCAATTTTTTTGTTACTCATTCAGACAGTCGTTACGCAGTACTTTTATCTAGTATCTAGAAAACTGCATCTAGAAGGATGTACTTCTTTGCTGTTTTTTTTTTTTTTTTGTGTGGGTTTGGAGGGGCTCCCTCTTCCTTTTGTTCGTATATAGTTAGTCACCTGGAAAATTAAATTGTCATCAACCATTCATCTGCGAGGTCTGCAGTAGTAAGTTTTCAACAGTTGCTGATGTAAACGATATCAAACTGATTGCTGATTTACAAGATGTCATCTTTTCTTATTTTCCTCATCTTCTTGAACTTGGACATGATCTACTCTCATTTACTGCAGCAGTAGAATATTACTTGGCACATTTTCTGTGCTCTGAGAACACTATATATGCTGTAACTTTAGTTTAGTTTATAACTCATCCTGTTGCTGATGAAAGCTTGGCAGTTTTTCTCGTGAGAATATACCGGGAAAGCACATCTGATTGCAAATATCCTTTAAGGCGGGCTGTTTGCCAGTCTGATTGAAATTGGAGAGCATAAAAAAGGTGCAAAACATTGTCATCGGATAAACTTTATCAGTGTATTCAGGCAGGAAACTGGTATGATTTTTCAGTCAATAGTTGGTTCCTATATCCACATTCAGGTTATTCATAGTAAATGTAGGTTACCTCTGTGCTTATGTTGCCCAAACAATTTGATGATATATTATCAATTATCAATCTTGTTTAAATCTCTTACTGATTACTATCTTCTTCAAATTCTGTAGAGTACTATTCCATGTTATAATCTCAATTTTGTTCTATCCCTTACTGATACTATGCCTGTGTCTACCTGAACTTTTCTTGCAGTATTTCTAGTCCTTTGTCAATTTGAATTTGCCATATGTTAAGTATAGTGAAGAAGATAGAACTGAATAGGATTGTGTAAGCTGTACTTGTGTGAACCTTGCAGTGAGCATATCACTTTTACCATTTACACAGTAAATAATACCTCGAAAAAATTCGACACAAAGTAATAGGGATTTTTTTCCCTTTAACATGCGCCTTTCTTTCTACATAATATAAAGTTAGATCATAGCTCAGCAGTCTGAAGAATATGTACAAAAATGATACGAGGAAAGGGATAAAACTAGTCATTAGCTGGGGGGAAAATGGCCAGAGTGCACTGATGATATTTTTCTCTTTGGCCTGGCCTGTATGTACATATTCTATCAGACCTGAAAAAAAAAGAAACATATACAGCTAAAGAAAAAAACTCAGGGCACTTCAGACAGCATTAGTCAAGCTCTTTCCTAAGCCCCCACGAACGCCCCCAGCAACTGATTCATCCTTGCAATTCCCGCTTGTATTTGTTGTCTGACTAACACACCTGCACCTAAGACAAATGAACCTCGCAGGAACAGCATCCAGGTCGGGTATGCCCGCACATCTGGTATGCTGCCAAACACCACAGACATCACAAGCCAACATCCTCTCCCCATCATCATCCTTTGCTCCACAGAAGCAATCTACTGTCCATCTCTCAACTCCTCTTTCCATTCTATACCTGCTCAGTGCATTTTTCCCAAGGAACTTTCCTCGGACTGTGACAAACCCAGCAGATCCTAAAAGGAGTTTGACCTGAGTAGCTTCTTTCAGCCCGCTGTACCCAACTAACTCATCAGCTTGGAATCTTCTAAACATCAAGTATACATCTTGAAATGTCCTCGTTGCCTCCGCTTTCAAGTCAGAAATCGTAGCATCCGAGGGCAGAATCATTAATTCTGGAGGAGGATTTCTGGAATGCACATCAGAATGTTCCATGATGTCCACCTCACATAACAGCTGGATAGAATCTGATTTTGGGATAGGCAAGAATCTCTCGGGTTGATATTCTTTCATAAATTGCTTGCAATCAAGAACAATTTTAGCGGAGCGAACTGCGAGTTCCCTTTTGGTTAAAGGAATATGATTTAACATTGTCTGCGGGTTTAGCATGCACTCATACAAGTACTTCAAATCTCGACGCAGATGTTCCTCAGATGGGAAGTTTGGAGTGCAAGGCAATCTGTTCCCATTTGTATTCACATTAACCATTGGGTTGCCACGCTCAAGTTTATACTCCATAGCGCCGGATCCATTAACACAACGGGCATTGACAACCATCCCATCGGCTGCCTGCTTCCCATTGAGTTCCTTTAAGCAATAATCAAGTAGTTCCGGAGGTCCAGCTTTACAGACCGCACCTCTAAGAGCACGCCAGCTGACCCAATTAGAACCAGAAACAGCTCGTAATACTCTAAACATTGCTTCTTCAACACGTAAAACATCATTACTGGTCCAAGCACATAAGACCTTAGACTTGGAGTCGCAAAGTTTGCGCTTCTTACAAGTGGAATTATCACCAGCCCCCAATGCAGATTTGCGGGCATCACGAATTGAACTAGTCAGAAAAATAAACAGGTCTCTAATATTTACAAGTTCACCTTCCGACAACGACTGATAAAACGAAATCAAATCCTGCAAACGCGTTCGAGGTTTCCTTCCTTGAGATAAAAATATGGTCAAGGGCAGAGAAGAAAGGTTTTCCACAGCTTGTTTATACGCATTTTGAGTCAAACCAAAACTACCAGCTCCAAACTGATAACCCCATTCACCATACCAGGGATGACCTTTTGTAAGGCAATGTAGTAGACGTAATTCCAAACCATACTTCTTCGAAACATCCATTACACTGATTTTTCTCGCTCCAATAACTTTACAAAGTCGATCCCAGAAATTCATTATATTGTTCCCAGAAAGCAGCCTGGAGCCACCTTCTCTGCCGTTTACCCTGAGAAGATGACCATAGCCATTGGAATGGATCACAGCATGCAGAAGATGACTGTTATCTTCTAACTGATGATACATCCAATCTTCAACATCTTCTGTAGTCATAACATGATTACATGATTTGCACCTAGACTCAGATAAGTGAAGAGCTTCACCACAGCCGGCACACGGCTTGTTATAACCGCCGATTGAGTTTCCGTCTGACTTAATAATAAAGTGGAAACGCTTTGCACAAACTGGATTACTGCTCCAACCAACGACTCGGCACTGGTCGCAATAAACGGATCTAGATCTGGCGACGTCTTCTTCGATTACATCGAGGCAGACGATTGCCGGAGAAGAGTCCTCGTCGCCGACGTCGTTGGTGAGGTCGCCGACGCGGAAGAGGATCTGCCACGTCAGCAGGTGAGGAAACAGCGACGAAGGCGGCGGTAAGAGCGCGTGCTTCGACAAAAAAGCCTTTACCGTCGTCCTGAACGGTTCGCTACTACCACCGGCAATACTGCCGACGTCGGGGAACGTGAGAAAGTCGTTGAGATCCGCCGTGACTCTCCTCTTCAACCGCTTCATAGGCCTTCCATTCATTACCACCATACTTGTCGTACCCTACTGATCTCGGCGCGTGTCACCCAGATCTCGGCGCGTGGTGTAGGTTTATCAGATCTGAGAAAGAACGTGACGATGATGGAAAACAGATCTAGAGAAATAGAGGAGGGAAAAGTCTAAGGAACGTTTGTTTCGGAGTGAGAAATTAGGGTTTGGTAAGTTTTTTTGGGGCTTTTCTGTATTTTTATATTTATTTTGTTCTCCAATTTCGCCGAAAAATAGGAAAAATATTCTAAAGGCGGTGTAACTAGGAAGCTCGACTATTTCGGGTGAAGAAATTAAGTATTAGGAAGTGACTGAAATACCCTTAATGTTAGTTTCTTGTTGGAGAAGACAGGGAGGTTGAGATGAAATGACAGATGTGCCCTTTGATTTTTGAATGGTGAAGGGACGTGCATAAAGTAATGCTCCCTCTAGCTTCTTTTCCTTTCATGTTTTATTCGGGACCTTTTTTCAAGATAGAAATAAAATCAGCGTACACATTGCGCTCTCCAAAACCTATTTGTAAGATTACATTGAATTTTTTATTGTTGTTGTCGTTATACTTTGGAACATTAATTAAATATTCCCTATTGTTCACAATAAATAATTTTTTGGCATTTTTTTTGTAGTCCAAAATATCTGATTATTTCAGATTTCAAGAATGATTTAATTATTTTTTTCCTACATTGCCCTTGGAGTAAATAATGTTGGAGTATGCGTTAAGAGTGTTTATGTGAAAAGATAGTAAAGGTTAATATGGTCAATTTCATTGCTAATTAATGTTAAAAAGTGGATTTCTTAATTTGTATGAAAACAGCCAAAAAATAACTTATTTAGACCGGAGGGAGTATATTATAGACTATAATTAACTTTTACTTCTCAAATTCTTGCAACACATTAATTGAGTATATTATTGACTATATTAACTTTTTCTTCTTCTCAAATTCATACAACTTGTTAGGATGGTTATTGCGTATTGTTTCATAATGTATCGTATCATATTATATAGTATTGTACAGTATTGTTTTGATGACTACAACGTTTGGGTAGATTGTATCATTTTTCATTGTTTCATAATTTTACACACCAACAATTTTAAGGATAAACTTATAATATTATAAAAAAAAAAGAAAAAAGCATGATACGAGAAAGAATGAGGTAAAATAGAATTTATTAAGGACAAAATGAGGAGAAGAAAAATAAGGTAATAATGCGATCATACCAAATCAGTGGTTATATAAAATGGATCATTTCATCATTACATAACAACCGATTTAACAATACGATATAATAAAATTTAAATAACAATCAAAATATTGTATTTAAATAAAGTAACAATACAATATAATAGGTAACAACCATCCAAACAAGTTGTTTCTCATAGGAATTTGTAAAGACTTTTTGCAAATCAATTAAAACCTTTGGAAAGAAAAGATTAATAGCTCCTTGAATTTTAGAAAAATTAATTATTTTGGATCAGATAAAAAATACTAAAAGAATCAAATAAAAAAGAATGGATAGAGTAGGTGATTATCCAATATGTACTACATCCTGCAATTCAATTGGACATTGATGCAGATTCTCTCAAGATGGTTATACTTAATTCTTTATTCGAGGAATAATCTACCTAATTGTGCAGAAAATTGGCATACGAAAATGTCAGTGGTGCATTCTCCAATAGGCAATGGATTTATAGTAGCTATTGTTTTTTTATAACCGTAATGTTCGAGTTAATTTGCGCGCATCTCGATTAATTTTATGGGGTACTTGTCACCTCCCACCAACAACAGGTACCAGGTAACTTTATCCACCAAAGCTTGGATAGATGGGAGGAAATCACTTAGGGATCGTTTGGTAGGGTGCATAGAAATAATGCTGAATAGGGTGTATTAGTAAAGCTGATATTAGTTATACTTGCATTAGGGCATATTTCTCATCCATTGTTTGATTTGATGTATTAAAGCATTGCACTATTTCTAAAAAAAGTGTTTGTTTACAAAAAGGTTAATCTACGCGGTATACCTATTGAAAACGCCAGTTAACTTCATATACATTTAAAATATTTGTTTTACATTCTATACCTACTTTATAAAACTTTATTTACTTTTTACATCTTTAATATATTTATATGTCATTAAACAAATTCCACCTTTTAAGGGATTAGATTATCTCACTCCAACTTTATAAATCCCTTAAAACACTCCATTATCCCCACGAATTAAGATTATACATTTCCACCAAACATATGAATTTCATGTTCCAAATAAACAACTCTCGAAACCTTTCCTATGACCCGTGGGTGTAAAAGGAGGAAGAATGTGAAAATGAAACATTTATTTTGTACAAGACAATACCTCTTTATCATTTATTTGTTAAATGAAGTGTTTCATCTTTTTTGTTTTTCTCTTACATCTATGTAATCAAAAGAAAAATTAAAGTACGTTAAAAATATTTTAATTTGTGATACAATATCTAAACTACAGAAATATTAGAATATACTATTCAAACCAATACACCACAATATTCTAATTAAAATTATAATATTCAAATCAAACATGCCACAATATTCTAATTTGGAATATAATATTCAAACTAAACAGACCATAGTTTTCTAATAGAATACTATATTCAAACCATACATACCAAAACATTTTAATGTGCGATACATTATCCAAACCAAACATACCAAATTACAATTGATTAATGAAGAATATAGTATTCAAACCAACACATCATAATATTCTAATAAAGAATACAATATTCAAAACCAAACATATCACAATATTCTAATTTGGAATACAATATTCAAATCAAATATACCATAATATTCTAATTTGGAATATAGTATTCAAACTAAACATACCACAACATTCTAATTTGGAATATAATAGTCAAACCAAACATACTTTTATTTATATTTATTGTGTATATATTATTTTACTTGGAATATTAACATTCTTTAATAGGAGGAGTATACAATGATTAGTTTACTGTATTTTTTTATATTGTATAAAAGAAGATAAACTTCCTTTAACGACAAAGGTTCCCATAGTAAGAAAAAATATTTAATGGATAATCCTTTTTTATTCTTTAATTTTGGTCCAAGTTTGAAACGGAAGGAGTAAGATTTTCAGTGGATTTGCTTTGTATATATAGCTTCCTTTAATTAAGGGGATATTTTTTAGGTAGTTATTGTCCATTAATTAAATAGGTATGTGGGGTAATTAATTGATGTGTACTACATGTAATTTTATAATTGAAGTATAGTATGTTAAGGTTTCTTGAAAGGGGGTATACGGTGTAACTTCCCCTTACAAAAATACCCTCATAACCAGTCCTTCACTTTATCTTTTTAAAAGAAACATTTGTTGAGAAATATTTTTATATGAAAAAGGTTCGAAAAATATTTTTTTTTGTCTACCTATATGATAGTACAGAACTGAATATTTAAATATTTGTTTATCAAAAAATAAAATAAAAAAATATGCTAAATATTTATTTATTTAATAAGTGTATAATTTTATTTTTCAATTTCTTGGATTATTTCAAACATGCATTAATATAATAACATTTTAATCAAGTATAAATTTTTAAGGACAATTCTGTCTTTAACTAAGTTAATGCATGCATTAAAACCCATTACATTGTTAATACCATGGTTTGTTATGCATTAGTTATACATAGGATAATACCAAATAGGGTGTATAACTAATGCTTGCACATATGTGCAAAAGGTGTACCAAACAAGGTATTATTAATACACAAAGCTAATGCATGCATTATTTTATCTAATGCATCCTACCAAACGACCCCTTAGTGTTTTTTTGCCTGCGTTGGATTTAAACCTAAGACCTCATGATTCTCACTCACTTCATTGACCACTAGGTCATAGCCTTGGGTGCAGATTTCTAGTAGCTACTAGATATGGGCTGCCCGTGCTGAGCACGAGCCCAACATGTGATTCAATGTGTGTTTCTTTGACATGTTAGCTTCATAGCAATAAAATTCAGAAGATAAATTCGGGCTAGTAGCTTGCGCATGCTATAGATAAACTGATGAATTATATTGGCGAAAGTAATTTAGGTATTTTGTGTAGATGACTGAACACTAATTTCCCAAACTAATTTGGCTAGTGGCAGTAAAGCCTCTCTTAGAAGATGCTTTCAAAAAAAATTGAAAGTTATGCTAATAAAATAGTCCATGATTCTAAAAGAAAGAGAAAGCATGAAACATAAATATGACATCCATTAAAAACAAAAAGATTTGCGTAACAGTGCATAAGGAGCATTTCACCTGGACAAATCTAAATTTTTGCGATCCTTCATGTTAAGAAACGATTTTGGTGTTACAAAGTAGAACTTTGATTTTAGTTATACAGAGTTGCGTGATTCTACCTCAATGCAACCCGATTTTCACTCCCATGATAGTTGTTTAAGAAAATGCCTAGAGATATGTGAAAGATAAATTATATTTGTAATGCATGTATTCCCTTTTCGAGCATCATTATAGTGATTCCCACGCTCAAGCAATAATCCAATTTGAATAAAGATAAAACTCTTCGGAACTTCACTATCTAAAATGATTCAAAATGCTAGCTATTTTTCTTCTCTTCGGATATTACATTTTGCAGGTGCACTTTCTGAACTTCTTCTGAATCTTACAACAATGAAAAATAGCAAAGTATGTGTATTCTATTCGACTACACGTTTGACGTCTCCAAAAACTCTGTGACACTCTTCTGAATAATGAAGTGCCACAATCCTCCTTGGGCCTGGATGCATTTGCTCCAAAGTCTACCCTTCACAAAACAAGACACAGAGATATCTAAGTGGTTTCTTTCTAGATTATCACATACTACACCTACTTCAGTCTCACCGAAAATTGGGAGTAATACATAAACGCGTTATCATTTCACCTTCTGGTTGTCACACCTCCTTTTCACCTACACCCCGCAAGGGCATAAAGGAGTTTTTCCACTTAAAGGACAATCGGAACATGATTTATTATTAAGATTCAGAGTCGTCACTTGGGAGATTAATGGTGTCCCAAGTCACCGGTTAGAATCCCGAACCGAGGAAATTATGACTCTGTTAATGTCACACCTCCTTTTTTTACACACCTACCCCGAAGGATAATGTATAAGGGAGTTTTTCCATTTAAAGTGACATTATTCGAAATGGGATTATTTATTTATTTTTAGAGTCGCCACTTGGGATAGGATTGGCTTTTGGTGTTCCAGGTCACTGATTTAACTTAAATCCCAAATCGAGGAAAATGGTCGACTTCCCAATTGGAGTCTGCGAACCAGAAATTCTGAATAAGGAATTCTGTTGTCCCGAGGGAAGGTGTTAGGCACCCCCGGACCCCGTGCTTCTAGCACGGTCGCTTAAATTATTATAAATGGCTAAAATCTGATTTTTATACATATGCAAACCTATAGTG